TCCAGCCCAGGACTATAACAGGGATCCAAAGAAGGGGGTCTTTATATCCAATCAACCATCATAACAACAAGGTACAATCAAAGCATCTTCCCAGGTATGCTACCTGGCCAGAGTTATTGTAGAAACAAAGCTGCTTCTAGCCTTCAATTCACATTTTCTTAGGGCCTCGGCAGACGACTAATAGAGTCGTCTTGGAGGCCAGGAAGAGGAGGGGCAGCCGCACGCGCGGCGCCCCTTCCTCTTCCCGAGGTTGCCCTCGGAGCTGCCGGCCCTCCGCATGGCTGGCGCTCCGGGGGCAACCTCCCGCCGCAGCATCCGGACATGCTGAGGTGGATAAGTCAGGGAAAGTGCGCCCTACACATTTAGGGCACACTTTCCCTGATTTATGAAAGGAGTGCTGATTTAGCGCTCCTTTCAGAGGCGCCGACGGTGCGCCTCGGTGCGGCTGCCGTGGTCCCACAGCGCACCGTCCCAGGGCATCTCCGACACCCTGGTCTGCTTCCCCCCTTAGTTATTGGTCTGGAAGTTGTAATAAAAGGCTGAAAACCACCACCATCACATTTATTGTGCTTTCACAAGAAGAAAATGAAAGCTTTCTATCACAGTGATTAAATTTCAAATGCTCTATATTATGTGAAAGTGTTTTTAACCGTTCCTTGGGTTTCAGGATGAGAAAGTGAGAGATTAAGCAATAAAGATAAGTGGAGATACTGCCAGGATTCTGCATTAAAGAGACAAGAGTGTAATTTTACCCTCACAGAGCTACGTGGTAGTTGTGCCATGCTGCCCCATTAGTGAATTACAACAGTGAGCAAACAGCTGTACAACTCCATCTACATGTATTCTGCATGATGTGCACCATGTGCAATATGTAAATATGGAAAATGGTGCTGAATTTCTAAATATGGCCATTCCACCACAGACAAAAGTGTCCAACCATTTCTGGATGGGAACTTACACATGGGTAAAACACCAACATGATCCCAACTACATGTATTCATAGTTTTTTTCATTTATTTATTTTTTAAATGCTTCTTTACATTCAAGGGGAATCTCATACAATGATGTAACAAAAGCAGGAAAATAAAAACACAGAAGGAAGAAAAATTACCACATTAGTTGTGAGTTTCTATAAAAGTTAACCAGATGTCCAGATGTAAGTCCATTTGTAAAGTTCATCTATACATCATTCTTTCTAATGTTACAAGCTTTGTTAGATCTCTATTCACTGGATCACAGGTGTAGAAAAAATATCTTTCTAGTAATGTAGTAACAATCTTTTAGTGGTCAAAAGGGTACAAAAAACACCTTCCTTTGGTTATTTGTTAATTTCCAAGAAACAAGTAAATAATTCAAAGGAACATGCACAACCCTGAATATCGAGCCAAATTTACTCATATGATTACTTACTTCCAAAATGTAGCTACTATGAAACAACTCTAAAACATATAATTAAGGAAGCATTAGCAGTAATATCTCCAGCAATCTGCTGATTTAGAAAGCTCTTTCTTGAGCAATTTCTACTGTAAAAGATGCAGTCAGAGATCTATAGCCACACTAGTTATAGATTTTATAACCAATGGCCATCGATTATTCGGAGGTGGATATTCCAGTTCTTTATTCCATTCTTGCTGTAAAACTCATATGTCATATTTATTCATAGGTAACAGAAAATTATATATATAAATTGTTTGTTTGCATACTTGATTGGCCTCAATTAATATCTCTAATAATAAGGGAACCTCAGATGCACTTAAAGATGCAGTGCCAAATCTGGATTGTAACAAATATTTCAATTGTAGATATTGCCATTTAGCTGATAAAGGTCATTTAAACTGTTTCTGTAAAGTTTAAAAAGGCAAAAACTCATAATCAACACCAGGTATCTGATTTAAGGTAACAATCCCATTGTTGGCCCATACCTTCCATAAAAATTGTTCCTTACAAATTTGCAAAACTGGATTCCCTCATAAAGTCAATTTGGCATGAGTGTATGTGTCAAATTGTTATTGATGAGACATTTGCCACACACTTCTAACTATTGAAATTGTTGGCAAAACATTTCCCTTTTTTATAAAATGAGAACCAAGCACTATCCATTTGAACAGAGGTGCCAGAAATGAAGACTTCAAGGCTGACCATGGTGGATTATTTACTTTAAATAATTAATACAAGAGAGCAGATATGCCCAGTGGTTTGTAAGACATTCTGGAAGGCTGAAACCTCCCTCTTTCATAGGAATTTGTATCCTTTTAATTGAAATTCTAGGGCCCCTATCCAAATGAGCCCCTATCCAAATGTCCTAAACAATGCATTTAGTTTTAGGAAATACTTTTGAAAATAAGTAGAGAAATTCCACAAATAACATAAACAATTCTAGGTATAAAATCCATTTTAATCATGTTTACCTTACCCCACAGACTCATCTTTAAGCCTGCCCCTCTTTCTAAATCTTATGCAGTATGTTTTATCAGCTTATTTATATTAAGCTTAATCATCTAAGTCCCTAGAGATAATTATACCCAAATAAATAATAGAATTTGGGCAGAATTGAAACTGCCATGTTTTAAATATGCTAGAGTCCATCTTGTCTCCCACTGGCAGTATTTGTGACTTGGACCAATTAATTGAATACACAGATATTTTAGCAAAATTATTAATCAACTGCATCAAAACAGGATTGACATTTGGGGATTTGAAACGAGCAACATGTATGTAGGCACTGCATCCTCTTACATAAAAAGATTATACTTAAATTGTTTCTTCTCAGGTATACACATAAATGTGCCAATATATGTCCTTAGGGCTCATTCCTTTGTTCAAACTGCTGCAACAGGAATGAAACCCATCAGAAATCAATTCACTTACTATCATTGTTTAAATAGGTCCAGCTAATGGTTGCTGGGCCTTCACTTGAAAAAGTTGCTTGTTCCATTAAAGCAGCCATATCACATTAATGGTCTACCTGCAAAATTAGGAAGAAATAAAATATTACATAAGAAGATGTCACATAAAAGTAATTGAACTTCTATAAAGAAGGGACAGATGAAATTAACCTTATGAAATTTAGTAGTTTGCTATTTGAATATATTGTTACAGCCAAAGACAAAAGCTCACATTTAAATAGTCACCATCTTTTTCATATTCAGTACCACAGCCACATGCGACAGTTCTGCTTCAGCAACAATGGTTTTAGGCAAGACCACAAGAGCACCAGTCTACAGCAGTTGGTGGGATACCAAACTGTTCACAGTAAGCAGGGATACTTAAGGAATTCAGTTTTTACAAATTCCAGTGCAAACCAACCTATGGACACACCTCCTGGGTTCATGTATGGATTAGCATGGAATGAGTTTTCAGATTTCTCACTTCTCCTAGATTCATGCTGCAATCTTGGCTCAAAAATACATTTCAAAATGAGTATTTTAAGATAAATATGGTTACAAATAATGCAAATTTAAATACCAATGTGATGGAAGTTTGAAAATACAGATTTTCATGGAAACAGGATGAAACTGATTTAAGCATGAAAGAGAGCTTGGAAAATATGCTTTTATACAGTCCCAAAATCCCCCAGGCTGCATATAGTCTAAAAATAAGTCCCCAAAATCTGTAAACCACCTTCCAATATTGACAACCCTGAGTTAAGGTGAGACTGCTCAAAAATCTAAATATAGTGCACTGGGGGACTTCCATAGAGAAACTCAATAACAACTCTTCAGTATAATGATAACTACCATTGTCAAGAAGGGAGACTACCATTGTCAAGAAGAAATATAGATTGACAATCATTTTAAATGAAAACCATAACACCATAGGTTGCTGTTATTAAATGTAATTCCCTTCTAATGGAAAAACTAAACACCTAATCAAGTTGGAGAAAGTTAAATTCAGAAATTGACCTGAAACTAGAAATTAGGATGAAGGGAGACAGTTTCAGTTATCAGTAAT